ACTTTTTATAAGCTCTAACTCATGACACTGATTTCATATCTAAATTATTTTTCAATTAAAAATTAGACACCATTTTCAAACTTACTCCTTTTTAATACTAATGCATAAATAAAGTGTCCAATACTGAATCCAGGTCCAAAGAGTTCACATCAACCCTTAGATCACACTCAATAAACCTTAATGGACTCGTGTAACACACCATAGCTAGTTGTTCATGTATGTAACACATTTTCAAAGCTCAACCCCTTGATTACAAAAACATAAAAGAAAGCCAAATTCTCATAAACCATCATCTAAATCATAATATCCATTCATTTATAAAACTTTCTACTTGCACTAGTATTTGAGTCCTATTTATATTTTACAACCACATTACAAACAATTCAAGGAACAAAATGCACATTTAAATTAGTCTCACAATTAATGCAAGTAGTTAAAAATCATATGAACTCCTAGATTAGCAAACTATCAACAAAAATGCACATAATTATAACTATAAGGCCTACTATAAGGATTTTTATAGAATCTTATGCCTCTCATCATTTTTCTTGATCCTAATTAAATAAGCTAGTCCTTGTAATATTGAAGGAAGATGAGTGAGTATAATTTCTCAGTATTCAAAGTTAACCTTGCCTATACAAATGCATGCTAATTAATTATAAATGTAATTGGTAGTTTCATAATTTTCCACAAATTTGCATATTTTTTAAAATGTTATCATAAACACAATACCAACAACCATATAGTTTGGCACAAATACATGTAATCTTACAACATATACAAATGATAAAACATATATGGAGTCACAATACTAACAACCATGTATCCATTACAAATCACGTCTGACTGTAATAATAATGACCATGTAGTCAGAATATTTAATGCATTATCAATGCCAACTGATACCCTTATAATACCTTTGACATGAAATTGGTAGCTATTTAGCGGTTACATCTATAAATTTGGACTAACCAAGCCTTTCACTCATGAGGAGATCCTAGCTAAAGCTACTATACTCACTTGTGAGTCATGGTTTTTCCTAATACTAACAACCATGAAGTGTCATACCCCTAATCTAACTTCCACAAGAACTGATGGAGATTAGTTAGATTCGAGTCGCTTAAAAAACAAGTAGAACAACCCCTAATAAATCATGGAATAATGGCTACCTCCTGATTCTAATGATAAGCCATCAATACCACGTGGATTTTATCACTACTCCTCTTTTTAGGAGAATTCCCACCATAAGTGATCATGCCATGCACATACTAACACATAGTATGCCAACTACTGACAAACATCACATCATATCTTATTTAACACAATTATTCTCCATCATACTCCACATATCTCAATATGCATAACATCTCATGTTATTCATTTTTAAATATATACAAGCTCTTACTGTAACATCAAACATATATGTATAAACATGCATTTCATTTTCATGGACTCAAGCATTTTTCTTACCCATCATATGATTTGTCATAATTTGCATCAAATGTTGTTCAAAAATACTTAATAAGTTTCAAACAATTTATTAACAAATAATTATACAGACTATATTTCTTCCTATAACCTCAAACCTTTAAAAGGTTAAAAGCTCCTCAAAATAAATTTTTAAAGCTCTCTTCAAGCTTGAATGATGCCTAAGAGTAATTAAATATACAATTAATCATATCATTCATCAATAATATCCTCATTGGGATAGATCTCAATAGTCTAACTCAACATTCCTAACTTACCAAAATCAAAAACTCACTTTTAAACACACCTATTGCATTTATTAACCTCCTCTAACTCGCATTATCATTGATGAACCATCAAACAACTATTTGGTCATCAAACACCTCTAACTACCATGTTAATGCCAATTTTCATCCATTAATGATCACCACTAACTAAACAATTACAAAATCATCAATATTAAATTTAAATAATCTAAACAACTCTCATTAACTCTATTTAAATTAATGGGTTTGGACCCATAACTTTTATAGATTTAAAATCATCATCCCAACATAAACCCTAACTCAAATCTTTAAGAGAATGAAGAAGGGTGAAGAAAAGGGATATAAGAGACTTACTTTGAATACTTGAAGGCTCCAAAATGTCCCTAAAAGTCTAAAATCTCAAACCTTAATAGAGCTTGGTAAATGCTCTTTATTTTCTCCCTTTCTCTCTTCTGATCTTGTGAACTAATGCAGAGTCACTTAAGCATAAATTTGATTGTGCGCTGCAGCTTACAGCATAAAGAGATTCCCCTTCATAGATATTCACATATAATTCGTGGCAAATATGCTATGTGTTATGGCATATGGCACATAACACCCTCCTTTTAATTTTTCTCATCTTTAGTGCTTGGGTGGTTCAACTTTGCTTCAGGCTTGAATTTAAGGCTGAAACCATAATTAAACACACTTATTGGACCTCTGTGGCTACATACCACATTTTACTCTTAGCCAATTTCCCAGGATGTTACATGAAGGGTTCTTAATGGGGTTGTTGCGATAAGGGAAGCTTTGTACAAAAGAAAACACTTATCTCTACTGATTGTCTTAACTGTTTGATTAATGTTGAAACTAGGGAGCATCTTTTATTTACATGTCCTTGGGTTAAAGCTTGTCGGTTTGGCTATAGTTTGAGTCTTTTGATGTTTGATTTTGATGTGAATAATATTGCTAACTGATTTGCCAATATGTTTGGTGATAATCAATTAATTGATTCTGTAAGGAGGGTTGTTATTGTTATCATATGTTGGGAAATTTGAAAATATAGGTGCAATTGAGTGTTTAATGCAGAAAGAGTAGATGCTATGAAAGTGGTTTTGAATGCTCGATGAATTGTTGATGATTGTATTCATTTAAAGATGACTACAAAATCTAATTTTCTAAAATCTGATTTTGTTTTGATTTCTAGAAACTCTCCTTTGGTTTGTCTAGCTAAGGGTGAAGTAAAAATAAATGTGGATAGCTCTTTTGCTAAGGAAATTAATCGTTCTGGCATTGGAGTGGTGTGTGGAGATTGGCAAGGGAATATTTTTAGGTGGTTGTGGAAGATAGGTGTTTGCTTCTTCTCCTTTTATGTTTGAATGTTTGGCAATATTAAAAGGTTTGAAGGTTGTTAGTAACTTTGAAGGAAGAAAAATTACCATTGAAATGAACTGTGAGTTGCTTTTTCGTATTCTATTAGGTAAGCTTTTTGAGAATTATGATTGGCGTTGTGTTAATTATGTGTAGGATATTTTAGTTTTTCATGAATCTAGCAAGGAAGTCTCTTTTTCTTTGTTGGCTGGCTAAGATAATGAAGCTACCAGTGATGGGTTTTAGGAAGATGTGTCTATCTAGATAGTTTTGAAGCTACATTTTCTTTATCTGGCTTATTACTTGTTGATTTAAGGACTGTTATAGGTTTTGATGTTAATGACTTTTATAATTGTTGGAACAAAATTGGAATTGGTTAATCTTCTTTGTTGTTGCTTCTTGCTTTCTTATTTTTTTCCCCCTCTTTTTGCAATTTTGTGTGTTAGTTTGTATTCAGGTTTTTTCAAGTGGCTATTGGTATTTGTAATTTTTTTTTGTGATTCATAAAATTGGCTCTATTTTTGGCAAAAAAAAAAAACTATTGCACTTTTCATACTTTATTAAAGAAAATCATATATATTTACACACTTGAAAAATTAAATTAAATTTAAAGACTTATATATTATTAATAAAAGTTAGTAATATTGAAAGCAATTTTAAAGTAAATATTTTTATTTTAAATTTTTATTAAAAAAAGTGCTCACGTTTGATTTTCACCATATATGGAGTAAGATTATCTCAAATGCTTCCAATAGGATACACGTGTTTGCATTTAAAAAATACATATTTTCATTTGCAAAAGAAGTTACATTCTTTTCATGAAAAAAGACGGAGGGAGTGGGGGAAGACGATGCACAAGTGGAGAAATGGGGCGTCATGGTGGGAGGAGTGCAAATATCAAAGTAGCAGCTGGATTTAACAACAACAACAATAATAATATAACAGAAAAAAATAATAATAACAACGATAATGATAATACAATAGAGAGAAAAAAAAAAATATCCTCTTCTCTTGTCTCCCACTGCACACACAGTGAGAGTCTCATAATACAAAAATTATTATTCTAATATAATTCTAATTTTTTAAAGAAGAAGAAGAATGGGACCGTTCTTTTTTATGATATGGTGCCGGTGGAAGCAGAATGAGCATAGAGGGATGTGTCTTCTTGCGCTGTATTAAGGCTGATACGGATCATGTGCACGGACAAATGGTACAATAGCTGGGAACCAGTAAATTCTGATCGTAAATTTTCATTTAATGATTATAAGAAATAGATGTATAAAAATTTTTTATTTGTAAATACACAATTACATTTTATTTAAAATAAAAATTTTTAAAAAATATAATATTTTTAATAAATCTGCTAATTACTAATTTGAATAATATAGATTTTATTTGATAGTTCAGTTTAATATTTTTTTTATTTTTTATAAATTAATTATTAAGATGTACTTTGGTACAATTTTAATTTTAGTTCATATTTAAAATTTTTAATTTATAATTTTTTAAAAAAATATTTTTTGAAAAGTTTTAGAAATATTATCTTTATTTTTAAAATTATATTTATCAAAATAAAAAATTAAAAGATTATTAAAAATTTAATATTAACTATAAACTATTCAGAGTATATTAAATAATCAATTTATAAAAAATAAAAAATTATATTAAAATGAACCATTCAAATAAAATTTTTATTATCTAAATTAATAATTAACAGAATTACTAATAATATTATATTTTTTATAAATTTTTATTTTAAATAAAATGTGATTGTGTGTTTGTAAATAAAAAAAATTTATACACTCATTTCTTATGGATCATTAAATAAAAGTTTATAATCAGAATTTGCTACTTTCTAACCACTTCACCGTTTGTCACTGCATATAATCCGTATCCCTGTTGTGGCTCTTCAAACAAAGCACCCATTGCTTTACTTGTCTCTCTGTTTCCTCTTTTTCTCTTCTTTCTCTCTCTTATTCCCTCCCTAACCCATTCACACTCCCTCGTTACAACGAGAATCAACTTCCAGATTATGGCACCTCCAAAATTAAACATCAAATTCGACAAAAGAAGTGGTTCCCGTGTGGGAGATGTTTCCCTCTGACTTCCCTCATCTCTCTCCTCCCAAAAAAAAAAAAAGTCTTATCTCCTATATATATATATATATATATTTTTTTTTTTTTTTTGCCATCCACCCTTTATGGTGCTGTTTACTAAAACGAGAGCCAACACACACACAGCCGGAAAACCCTCTTGTTCTTGCTGATACTGATACTCTTCCCTTCACTCAGGGAAGCAACCTGCGGTTTTTTATCGTACAGTACTATACTATGTAAGTACTCTCCTTTCGGCCATCTCGCCACCCAACGATTTTGCTTTTGATTCATGCTTTCCTTTTTTTATTCCATGCATTTTAAGGTTTACTCCTCCTTCTTCGCTCTACCCTGGTCCTTTGAAGTTTTTCTTTCTTCTGAGTGCAGGGGTTTCACTCTGCTTTGCAAGTGAAGCCTTCTTCTTTGACTTTTGAGGATTTAGTGATGCTTTGATGCGTCATTTTGAAAACTCCCGCTGCTAACAAGATGGAATTCTGCTAGTGACCTGTGGTTGAGCATCAAAATTTAGATCTAACTAGTAAATATAAGGGGGAATTCTCTAATTTCCCCCTCTTTTCTCTGGTAATTTCACTTGCTCATGTTTCTTACTGTTCTTTCTTTCTTCTCTCCAGCTGGTCAAAACCACAACTTCAATAAAGATTTTTATGCTCTTTCTTTTCAAGTGCAGGCGAGTTTCTAATCACTTCTTTGATTTTATGTTAGTTGGGAATGTGCTTAAGAACAAAAGCATCTCAAATGAACTCGTAGTATGATTCAAGAGCCAGCCAATTATATCTTGAGATAATATAGTCTAGTTATGCTAGCATGGAGGATATAAGTTTCTCCTACTCCCTCTGAGGGTCATAAAATTTGGAAAATTTTCCCCAATTTTTCCTTTTGAATCCTGGAGTGCGTTGTCAATTTTTCATTCCCGGAGTGTTTTCATCTCACTGCAGCTAAATTTATATCTTCCTTTGGTAGAAAAGAAGGGTTTTATTCCACAAAGAAAGTTTTAGCTGTTGAAGAAAGCCAGGAAAAAGTTGTTTCCAGCTTGTTCTTAAATATTAAACTTTTAACTTTTTTGCAGAATTTTTTTATATACTGAGAACGTTGGAAATTAACCAGAACAGCCCATTCAAAAGCGAACCGTGTATCTTATCAACTAAGTTTTCTTGGAAATCTATTTCCCATGGAAGAAATGGAGCTTTAGATTCCCCGCTCTCATTTTCATTATTATGGAAAGTCGGTAGAAGTTTCTGTTCAAGTGGAAGTTTCGCAGTAACAGAAGGGAAAGTGTAGAGCGGAATAAATGAAAATACAGATTCAGAAAGTGGTCTTTCTATTGTCCATGCTGCCCCGGATTACTCTTAAAGACCTATCCCATTAGCTTAAGAATTGAATAGAAAAGCTTGAAACAGGGAAAAACGTCATCTGGTTTGCATGAGCTTATCAGGTTAGAAGAAGTCTTTGAGATAAACAGATATCTTGGTTAACACAGTTGGATTTGACATTTTTCATCTTCACTTCTCCTACTAGATAAAAAGAATATTATAAGAGAAAAATACTTCTGTAGACCATATGATTTAATTCAATTGACGACACAATGTTTAACACTAGCTTACTCGAGGCAAAAGTCAGCAACAACACTGTTTTCCTAGTGCCTACTGCAATTTGCATTCATCAAAGTTGCTTAACTCTCCAAGGGACGTCAAAAGAATATCAGCTGGAGGAATTGAATTTAGGACCCTCAAACGCTAAAGCAGACTTGAACATGGACTTTCCGATACAGAAAATCTCAGAAGTCTAGGAATTCTATGGAAGTGTCCACATTTAGCACGAGTAACTGACACGTGACATGACCTTTGTTTGATGTGTATATACTTCATAAATTCTATTTTATGGCTGCAACTGAATATTTGCGTTCTTCTCTTGCTCTAAGATCAGTCTCACCTTTTAGCTTGCGTTGCTGTGGCATGAAAATATTTATTGGTATTCTGGCATGAGCAACAATAGTGAAAGCCTCATCTTTGGTATTTATTTGGCGTGCAGCATACTGAATAACCTGTTATCTGTGCAAGTATTGCTTTCACAACGTTGGCTCAGCACGGTGCTGATATATGTTCACCTGACATCCATTTGTCCCGACTTGGCACTTACTGTAAGGACATGGTTTTGACTTGCATTTCAGGAAAACTATATCAGTATACAGAACTTATTTTCTTGTAAGATAATAGTTTTCTACTTAAATAATTGATATAAATTCAAGATCATGCCTGGAGCCATAAAAATTTGGTGTTGCTAACTTTAAGCAGGCCCTATAGGCATAGTGAGAGTCATAAAAGGTGACACTTGTATGTGCATGGATGCTTGTATATAATGCATTACAAATGGAACTTGCAAGAAATCATGTTCTTTCTTGGCTTGTAATTTTTAAAATTGGAGATGAAAGATCATTTTCTAAGCTTTCTATTTCATGGACTTGCTGCTAACTATCTATGAGTAATCTGAATTTCAGCAAATGGAAGAAGATAGAAGCCCAGGGTTCTAGAAATGGTCTGCTTTCTGCGAAGGCACTGCCCTTCTTTTACTGGGTCCATGACAACAAGGGCACCAGAACCTAAGACTTAGTGTAAACCACTTAAAGCCCTCACGACTAGACTAGTCCAAATCTAGTGCTAAATAAGAGTTTTATCTTAAGCTGATTTATGAGCATTCAATTGCGCTTCTATTTCTACACGGGTTTAATCTTTTATTAGATCTTCTGCTCTTCAAAATAATTCTGTATTGTAGCTGATTGAAATACCACATTGAATTAGAGCCTTGTTAATATTCAATGTGTCCGGAAGTGGCATTCATGATTTGTAGGATAAAAAGGCTTAGAATCTACAATATAGTGGAGGAAGCTTAGAAAGAAAATCCTTTAGACAAGTAATTGAAAGGTGAAGAATTGCTTGTATTCCTTCAAATTCACTCACATTTCCATTTAGTAAATCTAAATCTAGAGGCTTTAGGCCCGCTTTTTTTTAATGGGCAAAGGAGTAAAAATACGCAAGAAGTCATTGGCTAGGAGCATCTGGTAGATTAAATTGAGGAAAAGTACATGAGTGCTTATGAAATTATTTTTTCAGTACACTGTGACCAAATCATTAAATTTCATATTCAAAGCAAACAGTCAACATTTTTGACTTTTAACAATTTGGTCATAAATGCACCAAAAAAATAATTTCATAGATACTCATGCACTTTTCCTCACTTGAGGCCGCTGGATGCTTATGACAGATGACTTCTTGGGTATTTTTGCCCTTTTGTCCTTTTTTAATTTGTTGACAAGTGTTTGATGAAGGAATATTAAAACAAACGGATGTTGAGTTCACAAGTCAAGAAACAAGACATGAACTGATTCCCGGAAAATCTTCAGCCACCTACTTTGCCCCCTCCTCTTGCAATGATGTCCTTTTCTGTTGCCTCCACGCACACCATGTGATGTCTTATTTAGCTTTTTTAGTCCATTTTCATATGTTCTCTTTATCACTCACCTCTATTGCATCTTTCCATCCTACGGGACCAAACAATCTCAGACTGTATTTTCTGCTCTAGTTTTGGTGTTTTTATGAACAATACTTGAATCTGTCAATTGCATCATATTGTCTACTGAAATTATTGCAAAAGGAATATCCAGATATTAATCAAATGTTCTGTAGCCCACAGAGTGAAGGAAAAAGAATTGAGTAATTGTCATTTACTTGTTCCTGCAAATAAAGTTACTCTTTTGGAATTTGGAATTAACAAAGGCTTATGTGAATGAAATTCTGAGTACTTTGTCTTGAGATACCCAAAAATTTCCTGCTCTGTCATGGTGAGTGATTTATCTTATTGTTGATACAGGTTGAATACTGAATGGTAAGCTGGTCGAAGTAAGGAATTTGCTCCTGTCTTAAGTGCTTGCTGGAAGGGAAGTTAGCTCTTAGCAGATTCATCTAAACATGATGACGCCAAATCTGAACTTGCAACCTGAAAATCATTCGGAAGTCAGTAGCCAAGTAGCTTCCAATATATCCTTGCAAGAAACGTCCCATGATCTTACCAAGGACAGCAACACCACTTCTTCCTGTCTCACAAATATCACAAAACCTGAAACTGATCCAGTGTCTTTTTCCCTCGACTTGACCCTCAACGTCAACTCCAGCGATGGTGAGTTGAAACGCACAAGTGATGCCAGCAGTGAAGTGGGAGGTGAAGCTCAACCTTCAGGATCAGCAGTTCCCAGGGTTTTCTCTTGTAATTACTGTAGGAGGAAGTTCTTCAGCTCTCAGGCTTTGGGTGGCCATCAAAATGCTCATAAAAGGGAGAGGACAATGGCGAAGCGCGCGATGCGAATGGGGATGTTCACTGAGAGGTACACAAGCCTGGCATCGCTGCCGCTTCATGGTTCTGCTTTTCGGTCTCTTGGTATTGAAGCTCATGCTGCATTGCACCAACGACCTGTGCCATCACTGAGGCCTCCCGACCCAAGAGTTGGTGCAAAATTTGAGAAAGATTACTTTGGACCAATGTTCATGGAAGATGATGATAATACGGGTCTGTTCTGGCCTGGGAGTTTCCGGCAGGTGGAAGGCAGGGCTGGTGTTAGTATGGGCCATGAACATGCTCAACGTTCAACTACTAGTCTTGCAGCAATTGCGCCGCCACCGCCACTACCACCCCCGCAACCAGAAACATCCACATCACCTGATCTCACTCTGAAGCTCTAAGATTTTCCATCTTTTGTGTAATTCTCGTCAGACATGAAATTATTATTTTCAGTTGGGCGTGCGTTGTACAGTGAGCAAGTACTTCCCATAGATTTTTTAAGCTTACTCCAGGTCCTTATCAATTGTTTCTTCTAATTTCTATTCTGCTTCATCATTTATCTATTGCTGTAGCCACTGGAGGTAAATTTTATGCCTGCAATGTGATTGTGGCGATGGCCTTGTTTGAGAGGAATCCTTAGGAACCATGTCCTCTATTTGCTTACTTGAATAGATCTATAGCCTGTGTTCAGAGTCATTTGTGTTGCATATTTAACTAGTCATATGACAGAAGCTATAGATAATAGAACCAATCAGAAGGTCGTAGCTCCATTGCGGGCACGAAATCGAAATGATTCTACTGTTTGTATATGAAGCTTGGCCATTCCAAACTCTGGTGGTGTATTGGATGTTTGAGAGAATATGATGGAAAGGAAAGAAACATTTATTAATCGGGTGAGGTGGGGTGAAACAAAATATAACATTCCATTGTTTGGAAGTTTTATAAGAAAAATGAATTATTTTATTTAATAATTATTTAAAAAGTATTATTAAATTAATAAATTTGAATGATGTTTTTGCAAAAGAGAATCAAAGAGTGAGAGGGAGCGAGAAGGATGGGATAATTTTACAATAATATTATCTGTCCTGAGCAATCCCATCTTTGACCTTTTATTTATTTATTTATGTTTTTTTTTTTGGGGGGGGGGGGGGTTCAGAATAAATAGATTTAGGATGGTTAAAGATGACCTGAAAGGTCATCGACCAACTCACTCCTTTTAAAAAATTATTCTAAACAGTGACAAAATTTTTAGCCATCCTACTCTATTATATTCCATCCCCAAAAAAACTCAAACAATTAGAGACATGAAAGAAAGAAAGAAAGAAGGAAACTTCCAGTTTTCTTTCTGTGGTCATAGTCATAGATAATCTTATTCTACCATTTTAAGTAGTGTATTGTTAAAAGATATGCAGTGGTCATAGATAATCTTAGTCTACCTCAAATTTGTATGTTGATGTCACATTTCAAATTTTGAATATCTATAAGCATTTCAATTTTATAAGTACTAGTTATTTTTATTTACAGACTGTAAACTAGACAGTTTGTTCTACATATTGCTTGAAATAAGAGAAATTGCTGATGTTTATAATCATAATTTACTAATAATACATCTTAGATTTTTTTTATGCAAGATCTTTCTTATAACGAATACAGCCTAGGTTTTATTGAATATACGTGGGTAAAAAATATTTTATTGAATATTAGAATCGATATTATATTGATTCATTTCTGGTGAAAAAAGATTTTATATTGATTTATCTTGCCAAGATTTTGCATTGCTGGAGACTTGGAGAATGCAGTACAATTTTTTTTGAAAGAGTATGGAAGTCAAATTATATCTGCAGAATGCAAAAAGGCATAAAAATACACTCGACGCTCTATAGGACAGGAAAAGAACATTTTTTTATCCTATTTATATATTATATTATTAATTTTTATTATAATTTTTTTTATCTTCAATTGAATGTTGAGAAGGAAAAATATTTTATTAAAATATGCTATCTTATTTTTGAATGTACGAGAAACTATCATGTTTCTTTTTATTTTTATTTATAAACACAATTACAAATTTTAAAAAATATTTATTATATTTTTTTAAACTGTCTCTCATAAAATCAATATATTTTTTTTTTACTAAACACGTTTGTTTTATTATTAGATCTTATTTATAAAATAGAAAAAAAAAAATTAATCATATTTATAAAATACTTGTTAGTTTTTAACATTTTTCTTTATATTTTTTCTTTTATTAAATGTTTTAAATAAAAATTTTAATAATGAGATTTAAAAATATTTACTATAAGTAAAAGTAAAAACTTATTAAATTTTAAGATAAAATTAATGAGGTTTAAAATTTTTATTAATTTTTATAAAATATATTAAAAATAATTTATAAATAAAATTAGAAAAAGTATATAAATAACTTAGTCTAACTTCAAATTTTTAAATATAATTATTATACTTAATCATCAATTTTTTTTTTACAAGAAAAAGTACCTCGAGTCAAAAATTAGTTAAAAGAGGGGGGGGGGGTAATCTGATAATTAGTGCAATGTTGACTTTTGTTGTTTGTGCTAGGTTCATTATTAATTGCATCGCCATATGTGGGGTATCAAATAATTCTTGGCCGATTTGTCGTCTCATTACCCTTGTTTGGGGCCGCATTTTGACTTGGACCCAGGTTTGGGATTTTTTGTTCGCACATGAACTTTCTTAGCACCTTACATAAAGTTATAATTATAATTATAATTATCATTGTAACTACTAAAATAAAAGGTAGATTTATTATACACGCGTGAATTTTCTTATTTTCAATTTTTTTATGCAATACAACATCCTATTATTATTATTTTTTCAAAATTAATGTCAAGAATGGTAATCGCAAAATGTCCCTGGACTTTTTAATCCTCCCACACCGCACATCTAGAGTTCAAAAGAGAAAGTTCGAACTCAAACATTATCAAATCATGTTTTTTTTTTTTGGCAAGAGGAATTAGAACTTTTAGTATTCCAGATTAAAAAAAATGTTATTCACGTGTTTTAAATAAAAATTAGAAAGTGTAGTGACTGATGAGTTCTCCCTCAGGTCTCTGATCTAAATAAAAAATTACTTCCAGTTTATATACAGAGTTTGTTAATTATCCCTTTTGAATTTGTTTTTTTCTTTTTAAATTGATTTTTTTCTTCCAACTGTTGTTCATTTAAGGAGAGATATAATTGAAGGCATGTCTTAATTGTAGGTTAAATCAGGTAAGTTTTTCTTATCATCAAGATAAAAGAAAAAAAAAAATCTTAGAATCTGATTGTACTTTACAAGATCAAAATAATACTCCCTCATATCTGAAATGCAGGATAATTTTTACCTGCTGAAGCTAATGCTGATAAAAAAAATGCAAGACATTTTACAAAAGAATTAAAGGTCAAAAATATCTTTAAAGTGCACATAAATGATCACAAGTGATTTTAAATTTAATTATAGATCATCTATATCTCTTAATCTCAAATTTTTTTTGTTCTATTACTCTGCAGCTTTATCCGTTTAATTTTTCTTTTAATGGAGTCTACGATTGAATTTTTTAATACTTTCCTTCACTCCTTCCTCTCTCTCTCCTCCTCACCCACTCTCTCTCTCACCCTCCCTCTCTCTCTCTCATTTCTTGACCCCTTTCTTCCTTCACTCACTTCTGCCCAACTCCACCATTGTGCACGTCCACAGTACATTGTCAGCTCTGCATGCACAACCATCTCACTCTTCTCACCATTGTGCTTCAGTTTCCCTGCCGTGCCACTCTCATTTCCACTATGACAAGGTTGTGCTTCAACACTCAAGGTTGTCAATTTATGTAAAATATGGACGCCATGCCCACCGAATGTCGCACTCAAATGGAAGGTCTCTCTCTCTCTCTCTCTGCTTGCGAGCGCATACTCTATGCAAGGGGCGAACAACGTGGTGCCACATGGGGTGGCGATGGAGATGCAAGTGGTTGGGTACAAGAGATTTGGGAAGGCAAACATGACAACGGAGGCAGAGGGGGAGTCGGATGAGGCCATAGGGGGGGAGAGAGGGAGAGGATCGGATGTGCATGCGTGTGCGTTTAACCCGACCAAGGAGGCTAGTGGAAGTGCATGTGTGCGTGCGCGTGTGTTCAACTCGACCGAGGAGGCATCCATGCTCACTGAGTAACGTTCTTTATCATTGAAGCCGGTCCAGCCTATCCACAACAGTCACCAGAGCATGCATGGACTTGGTGAGGACGAGGACCAGAGAGACAAAGTAGAGGAGAGAGACAAGAAGGAGATGGATCGAATATATTGAATTACAGGGAGAGATTTGAAGAAATTTTTAAAAATAATGTGGGCCCAAAACTAATATTTTATAATAAAAAATATTAAAAAATTCATATATGAGACCCACGTCATAGAGCTGTCGAGTAAGCTAGCAACAGGGCAATAGAACAATAATTTTTTAAAATTAAAAAATACAAATAATTCATAATTAAATTTAAAGTTATTTGTGATCATTTATATACATTTCAGGGGCATTTTTAATCTTTAATCGCTTTACAAAAAGTCAATGACATTAATTTATTTTTTTTATAAATGTTCTTATTGATTATTTTTTTGATTTTAAATTATAAAATATTTTTAAATAAAATAACACATCAATAAAGTTCATTAAATATATTTTATAACTTTATTTTTTTAAAATAAAAATATAATATAAACATATAAAAATACTCTTTATTTAATAATATTTTTTAAAAAAATATTAAAGAGAGAGAATATAATGAAAAGAATAATATTTAAAAAATATTATTAATAAAATTTTATTCTTATTAAAGTTTCTTATATTTTGAGATTGGAGAGTATTACTTCCTCTACTCCTATTTATAAGTTACTTCTAATATGTTTTGAAAAAATTTAAGAAAAAATGATAATAAAATTCTTTTAAAATAAATAAATGACAATTTGGTTATTCAAAATGTCATAATTCCTCTCAAATTTTTAAGAATTTTTTTATCACTAATAAATTTATATAAATTATTAAATTTTTCTTATTAAAAATAAATAATTTACAAATTTTATTTAAATATTCATAAATTTTCTTATATTCGCAACAATATAACAGTAAATAAGAAATTTAACATATAAAATTGTGATTTATTATTACATTATTATAAATATAAGAAGAAAAGTTGTGAATATTTAAATAAAACTTGTGAATCATTTATTTCAACAAGGACAATTTAATAATTTATATAAATTCATTAATGATAGAAAAGTTTTTAGAGACTTTATAAAAATTATGATATTTTGAAGGATCAAATTATCATTTATATATTTTAAAAAAATTTTATTATCATTTTTCCAAACTTTAAATCTAGTTAATTTTTTCTTAAAATTTAATAAATTTCTACATTTACTCCTAATAAATATTCTTAAATCTTATTATTAGCATTTTTATTCAAAATATTTAATAAAGATAATAATATAAAGAAGAGCATTGAAATTGAAAAGTGCTCTATAAATAGAATTA